TATTTAAATTTTCGAGTTAAAACAAAAATCAAATTGCCAAGTAATTTCGCAGACCTCGGGTCGTTCAAATTTCACAGGCCTCAGCTCGTTCAAGTTTACCAAGAAAATTCCCGATCATATGCAAGTTAACAAACATCGATAGCAATACAATAAATAAATTCGCGAAATACACATGCAAAAGTAAACTGATTATGTATGCGAAATCGAGCCACCAGGGCCAGCTTTATTGATATGATAAAAAATAAAAAAACAAAATACAGGATAAAAATATAGAGAGATACATTATAGAAATTTGCGTTTAGGCAGAATAAGGCTTCGGTCCAGAGTTGATTTTTCTGACAAAAAAAAGGTATTTGGCCAACCTTGATTTAGGACACTTCGTTATTCACAACGCTAGTATTTTTCAATAAATCGGATACGTTAGATTATATGCATTTACTAAAAATATACAAAAGTGAAGTAAAAATAAAAAATGAGCATTCGTTGGTTGGTTATCCAGGTCACACCACGCGGAGGTCAATGCTCGAGTGACCCGTGTACCACACTTTGGTGGATTTGGTATTAAGGAATGACAATGGTGAACGAAATTAATGATTAATGATGGACGAATTAATGGTTATGTAAGAAATGAAAGGGGTAGACGAAATTAATGGTTAGGTAATATAACGAAATTAATGGTTTACAAGTTCATGATAAAATAAAAAATCATACGGTCTATCTTGGAGAGAGTCTATTGCGAGATTAAGGATGATTTCGGGAAGGTGGGATTTATCCGTCAAGATGACAGGATAATTCGATATTTTAGCTTCATTAACCGCGAATTCTGTAAAATTAAGTCGGGGAGAGACCACAATACCGATCGTGCCTAGATCTCTTTGACATACCGCACCCCTTAATTCGCGAACGACGGAGGGTCCTATATTACTTTCTATTAGTATAATTTTTTGAATCAAATGTAAATTAACATTAAAACCTGCCTATTGGTTGTTCATCCCAATTCTTGCATTGAATTAAAATCGAGACCCCTCTTACTTCGCAAATTATATCTACACCTCCGTCGTCACGCCCCCTATCAATGAACAAAAAGTGAGTAAATGCGTCATCGTCATTATCAATTAAAGAACGCACGCCGGAATATTCTACGGTGATGTGCCTTCAGTAATTAGCGTGTATCCTATTCACCACTCGCCCCGAAGTGCGAAACCCGGCCTTACTATATCATAGAATTAGCTTTTCGGATACGAACAGAAGAACGTTCACCATCATATAACGGTGGCCACGATGCGCTTTCAATTCTAATCGATTTTACACCTAGTGACAGCGTATCTTCGGATACACGATAACTCGACAAATACTCAATGAGAAAGAAAACTCACCCTATATGCTTAACATTAAGGCCCATACTCTTTAATAGCTCAACAACATCTATCTCAAATATCTTCCCCTTAATGCAACTCGAATACGTGATCATGACTGCAACTGCAACGGACTCTGGCATCTTTTAAAAAAATAAGCTTTCGAAAACGTAAGAGACAGATCAAATTTTTCACATATCTTTTATTATGATGTGCCATCACTCCTTTTTCGCTGGGAGCATTTTGTCAAGAGAACGTGCTTAAATTACTCGAATTGAGGAGTTAGAGAAAAATAGGATAGAGACTACCGCTGAAAATGCCGAACTTAAAGCTAGAGTTGCGAAATTA